CATTAATATTTACAATGTTTACATTTATATTTACAGGATTTAAGTAGAAATGCTTAGTATATTCAGAGTTATATGACAGGTAACTTCGAAAAGAAGGGGAAATTATTCCAAGCAGTATGAAGTCTTTATTAATAAGATGCGAGCTGTTTCATTTTAACACTTCAATAACTCATCTTAAAGGAAAAAGCTATTTAAGTCATTTGAGTGGATCAGAAATTTTGATAGTTGTACAGTCTCTGTTCCCCTGCCACCTACCCAGTCATAGAAGAGTGATCCAGAATATCTGGCTTTCAGATGAAGGTTGTGAAAGTAATATCAAAAATAGTGTTAAAACTTTGCAAAAAGTTTCTAAAATAAAAGATTTTGCAATCAGGATATTTCAGTTGCTAGACAAATCTCCTAAATGGGTGGGGAGTGAGTGGGATATGTTCGTTATGGAACAATTTAGTATCTGTTATTTTCAGCACATATTCAGAGTGCTTAAGAACACTAGAGAAAAGCAATGTTTTGCTATCAGTGAGTGTGCCACACACTCACCTCTCCCACATCCTGCCTCCATCTTTGCTTGCCCTCAAGCTAGGGAATTATAACCCATAACTTAAATTCCAAGCATTAGTAGTAACTTTGGCTAAAAAGAGACAGACTGTAAAATCTCAGGTGCCTGTTAGACCAAAAGGTACAATTTGATCAGTTTAATTAAGTACTTAAGGATAACCACTGCTCCTGAAAATAAGAAGAGGGAAACCTGATAATAGATGCTGGCGGTTTCATATTAATGTGCCCCTGGAATGAAGAAAAAAATAGCAAGATTTTTATCCAAGCATTTTGACATTCAATTTTGAATGTCATCAAAATGAAAATCTTTGCCATACCTGACAGGTACACCTACATCAATCAGCTGTTGAGCATCAGCATTTTTGTCCTGCACCTGCCATGGTTCATAGCTTGTTGCTTCCCATGTTGGTACAAGCCAAGCTATTTTTGATAATGATAGACAAAATGTTAAAGGATGTGTCAATAATTGCTGTTATTACTTTGTGGTTGTCCAAGTGTAACACTTGAAAGGCTTAAAAGCTAACGCCTGATTCTTTCATTAAAACCCATCTCAGTATAGGCCACTGCTTTTATTCTCATAAGTGCAGAAAGAGGCCCAAATAAGATGATGGTAAACATATTTTTCATTATAACAAGCAATATTTCCCTTGACTTCATCTATTTACACCGTCTTTTCTATTTCAGGTTAAAAAGTGATGGGGTTAGGGCTTTTTATTTTTTTTTCAGCTTGTTGGTTTACCAAAAAATACATGTATGTTTTTTCTGGAAGTAAAAGAATCTTTATAGTTTCGTTTTTTCACTTCTTGCACTCACTGTCCTCTTGTAATTTTTTTCTCAGTGATAAAATTATCCTGTGTTGGCATGAAATTCTAAGACTAGAAAGGCAGATAACAAATCTGTGCCATTTCTCAGTTTAGAATAATAATCTGTGCCAATCTTATCAACTATAAGATATTTAGAAATATTTTTGCTATATTTGCCAAATGAAAGTTAAAGTTAAGAAGCCACAAATTTCTAAAAAGTTATACTGGTTTGTATTTAAAAACAATAACAACAAACCAAACAAGTATCAACTGGAGAAGCTAGAGAGACTAAATGTTATTCATCAGATAACATGAATATTAAATACTTACCATTTTTCCTTTTGTCTTTTATATTATTTTCTTTATTTTGTTGATACATTTTCTGTAGCTAATCTGGAGACAGGGGAATGACTCAGTTTGTTACCATGAGTGTTTAAAGGAATTTCAATAACCATAAGTATCAAGCATCTGTGTGTTTTGCACAGCAGAAAATAAAACATGTGCAAGTTTCCAAGGCAGCAGATAAAACAAGCCAACTTTACCATTGTTCTGACTTTTTCACAATGTCACTGTCTTGGATTTCACATCCAGATAGAGATGCTGTGAATAAATTCTATGGGTGAAGAAGCAGAAAATAAGGAGGAAAAGAGGATTTGCCATGTGGATTCTTTATAACAATGTGGAACACAGAGTCTCACACACACAGGCTTTCCTTGCTCCCTACAGGATATCTATCTGTAGGCCTCTGTCAATTTCTAGGAGATTTTCTATGTGAAAGGATCCTCCAGTTAATTTCAGTGTATAGCTTGGTTTAGATTTATCTTTCTCCTACGTCTTCTCTCTTCCTTTACCCTTTTCAAGCCTCTGCTAAAAGGGGTGGGGGTAGAGGAATAGATTTTAAAAAGAAAAAAAGAAAGAAAGAAAGAAAACAATGAAAACAGTGTTATGCATGTATCCTCAGAAGCATTTTGTGAAAATACCACTGCTTCATGCTGACTAAAAATACAACATACTGTTATTCTTCCTGCTGCTCATGGAAAAGGCAGGATACCTATGCACCCATTATTCTTCACGTATATGCAGCAGTCTCGTCATTGAGGAACATGATGCTTCAGCCTATGTCAGAATAGCAGAAAGGAAAGAACAGGAATCAGGTAGTAGAGAACAGGAGATACCATACTGTCTGAGCAACGTGCTCAGAGACACGGACTGTACTCTATGTTTAGGCTTCAATGTATTTTAAAATGTTGAAACAGGTAAAGAGCAACTTGCCCTGTAAGCAAGTTTAAAAGACAAACTTTGCTCTGATAGATGCTGAGAACAATTCCCTCTTTATCTGACTAAAAGTCCTGTGAAGCAACACATAAATCTACAGGCCATGAAGCTGCTCCTTTCAAATGGGACTTCTAACATAATTTTATTATCTATTGGGTAAACAGAATCACAGCTGGAAATCACCTTGGCAAGCCAAGTGAAAAGACAGAAAAAGAAAACCATTAATGTTGTGCTGTGAGGTACTATTTCTAGGGTCACTAGGAATGTTATTTGAGTGTTTCAGGGTGCTATGGCTCTTCCATCAAAAAAGACAAGTTAAATGTTAAATCTAGATCTTTATTAGGTGAAACGCACTTTATCCACAATGCATGAGAAATGAGACAACATTTGTGTAATACAGGGTAACACTTTAAATATTTTTCTAAGTGTCACTGATCTTATCACCCCCATCTGGAATAAAACCTGTTGAAATTGCATTGCAAACTGCTAAAATAAACTGTGTGACTGGCCAGGACTGAAACTGACTTGTGTCTTTAAACTCAGTATTTCTCCAGAATCAGTGTAATTTAATTGAAATAGCTCTGCGTGTGTAAACAACTCCTTTGTTTAAAGAAGATTTCACTGTTTAGTTTGCCTTAAGTAAATGCTGCCTTTTGTTTGTCTGTAAAACATTTGATTAAATGTAAAGACTTACATAGACAGCTTCTCCTCATTACACTAGTGGCTGAAAAATAAGCTAAAATGATGCAGGTATCTGCTGTCTGAGGAAGTATCAAACAATATCATTTGTCTTTAAAAGAAAAACCCTTGGAAACATCTTAAGCCTAGTCCTAAAATCAAACTGCAACTTTCCTAATCTCAGGAAGATGGTATTTAAAGAAGTGTTGAAACTGTTCAATATACCAGACTTTTCTTGCTTTCCTAAAAAACATTTTCTAGTATTTTAATCAAGCTCCAAAATTCCTACATGGCAAACAGCTTTTATATACATTATTTTCTACTGAATTAGAGTGTTGTAGTATGAAGACACACATTTTACTGTGATTGTGAATGTATTAAGCAAGAAAATAAGCAAGACAACTAAAATATTATAGCATAATTGTCTTCCAGCTGAAATGCTTCTATAAATTGTAGTAGTTGTTTTAATGTACTCTAGACAGGGTGAAAAGTATACCATCTATTCAAATAGCTACATTTACTATTAAAAAAAAAAAAAAAAGTTTAAACCAAAAGTTCGTGTTTGGTCCTTTCTCCTTTGGAAGAACTCTTAAATTCTCTTTGAGACTACCCAAACAGAATGTAAGTCCAGTCAGGAAAAAAGCAAGCATAACAATTTTTACATGTCAGTACGGCCACTCGTAATGCACAATCCATAATGAATTTTGCAGATTTAGATCTTTATGCTAGTGATACTTATAGTATACATTTTACTTGTATTGTCTAAAACATAGTAAGTAGAAATGGAACCGAAACTCACCAGACATGGAAGGCAGGATGATGGCTAACACTTTGAAGTGTGGTGTGTAGCTGGACAGGGGGTTTTGTTTGCTTGGAGGTTTTTTATGTACTTTGAGAAAGCTTTTCAGATTCAAGATAGAGATGCCAAAGGAGAGACATCCAAGCATCCCTCATTCTCAAGACAATCAACTGTTTACAATGCAAAGGGTGAAATCCAAGTTATTTCTCACTGCTCTTATTCACCCTAGGTAAACTATTAGCTATTTTGTAATCTTTCTTCAAGATTTCAAGTTAGGTGTCAGTGTTGAACAAAACCTCGAGAATGCTCATTAAGCTAAATTTTAGGGGTTTTATCTAGTTCAATTCAAGAGATTTTTTTAAGTCCTTAGGTTTAAATGGGAATAATAACTGCTACTGGTAAGTGACATTAGTATTAATTGTTGAACAAATGTAAATATGTTGTTGTTCTTAAATAGCTCAAGGATTTTTGAATAATGATGCAATTCTGGCAAAGCTCTCATGTCAAAATATAAACCAATACTGCAGTTACTTCTTCCTTTACAGTAAACTTTGAGATTTATTCCTTTCATTCTGAGTTGGATTATGTAAAAGAGAAGTTATTTGTAAGGAAAAGATCCCACCTTCTGCTCTTAGCCCCAAAACATGCTGTAAATTACCTTTTCAAGAATATGAGTTGATGATGATGATGATGGAGGATTTAATCCATCTTTTTTCAAGGTTAATTCAAAAGGTGCCTACTGCCATCAGTAGAGGTTGAACTAAATTCCTGTGTTGAAGGCCTAGAAATTCTGTATATGTTAAACATTAATAAATGTTCTTGCTTGTATCAACCAGGTACACAATTATACTTCAACTGTCTTTTTATATATTTATTTCTCCTTTGATAAGGCAATGCTGGATGTTGCAGCACATCATGGCTGGCTGGTGACTGCTCTGAATATAACCAATCTGGTGCAAATGGTGGTTCAGGGTAGATGGATACATGACTCTTCCCTGCTTACTTTGCCCAATATAGAGCTACAACACCTTTACCTTTTTCGGTATGTAATTCTTCTAAGCATTCACAGGTTTGCAATTTCATTCCACCTCTGACTGCTGATTGTGTTTGAATGTCATTGTTGTGCCCAAGAATGCTCATTAATGCACCAGAAGCAGAACTTATTCCTTCACAGTGATGCTTTCCCAAATGGACTTTCTGTTTCTGTTTTCAATATTAATTTATTAATTAACCCCCACAGATTATTTTCAGAACCATGATTCCAGACAAATTAACAAGAGATCACTGGAAGGGTTCCAAGTCCTAGCAAATCTAACTCTGTATATTATCTCTTTATTTTAATCCATTATAAAAATACATTTATATATATTAATATATAATAAAAATATGTTAATATCTTAATATCATGGCTAATGCTAAGCTCTATAGCTGCCTAGATGATGCAGTAATTAATGCTACCCAAAAATAAATGACCAGCATTTAATAACAGAAACCAGTATCAAGTTTTACCACCAAAACAACTGAAAACAAATGTTTGCTTTCCCTCCCTGGGCATATGTTTTGCTTTCCATATCAGAAAGTGGAGCCAAGGCAAAAGGAAGAGTGCGCACGGAGGTTACCAAGGACCTATTGAGTGTCTTCCCGAACTAATGGCTGCCTGCGAAGGAAAAGAGAATGTTTTTGCTTCCATTGTGGACAGTGAATTGCAAACAGCACACATTTCACAGGTAATACTTTCTATCCATCATCATTATCAGTGTGATTGGAAAGGACAAGTAGTTGGGAAAAGACATACTCTCGTCACCTCCCTTCTGCAAATATCATGTGATATTCTGCATGAAGTGCAACACATTCATTGCTCTAATTTCAAGGTACTGCTAACTCTTCAGAGGTTCTTCTCTGCCTGTTTTCTTAATATTATTTTCACTTATTCCCTTCTAACCAGTAACAGAGTCTGGTTTATGGCTGATATTACCACATTGCTGCTCTAAAGATGTTTCTCTAGGGCATTCAATCTGCTGAGTGTTATCCACCTTATCATAGCCAGCTATGCACTAAGAATTATATGCATTGCAAATGTCATTGGAGCTGGTTTCTGAAGTGGTCTGTCAAACATCATTTTTTTCTGAGAATTCTCTTTGTAAAAGATCCAGCACTCATTTTTCTATTTGAAAAAGTAGATGAACATTTCATACTTCACAGGAGGAAGAAAAAAATACTATTCCAAAATGTTAAGCTGGAGTCTTATTTTCAGTTCGATATTTAAGCTGTTCAAGCAAAGGACAGCTATATTCCATAGCATTCATTACATGCTAAGCCTATTGATTTCAAATAAATGTATGAAAGATGAAAACTTCAAAAGCTATACTTCAAATGTGTTGTATTTGAATATTTAAAAGGACAGCAATATGTCCTGTGTTTGGCTGTTCAGCTTCAGTTAAACCTTTTACTGGTATGCAAACAAGAAGAAAAGTACTTAAATGTCTATAACAGACATCTGCATTTGTAACTAAATTAACATCAAAATTTTGAATTAAGAAAATGTATTGACATCAAAACAAGCCTTCCTTTAACAACAGATTTCTAACATAATACACATTGATTTCAGTCCAACTTTTAGATGTGATAAAAAATTAGAACATTGTTATAATTAGTTCAGGGAGAACTCAGAAGTAAACTTACTTAATTTATTTGCATAAATTGCCATTCTGTTATCTTTAAAAGCAAATGCAAATTGGCTCTGTCTGATATGATGATGGTTATTTGGCTCAAAAGTGCTTCAATTTGCGTAGCAATCTGGTGTCGTCTCTGCAGTGAGGCGATCCCAGGTAACATACAAATCCTGAATTATTCCAGAAATTAGTATGTTTAAAGCATCAATTTAAGTGCTAATTGCAGTAGTAATGAGAAAAAGCAGTACTACTGTGAGATTTGCATCTACTGCCCCATCAGTATGCCTGGAACGGCTGCTGACTGGCAGAGGATTTGGCTGCTAATTAAATAATTGTATGCATGGCAGTGTTCTCATCTGATTCAATAGATGAAGATTAATCCTCAGATAAATATGTTTGGCTGGTATTGAAATGTCTTAGCAGTTTCTTCAAAAATAGCTTGTGTGTATGTGGTGCGTACGTTCACACTGTGACTCTATACCTCTATATGTCTGTTTGTAAATACAGATGCATATAAGAGGGAAAAACATAATGTCTTAGAATCATACAAGGAGAAAGTTTCATTTCCATGAGTTGCAAATGGCCATATTGGGTATAGCAAAGCCATGACTGTATTATGCAGGTCATTGCAAATGTGAAACATTTATACCAACATTTTATATTCTTTACAACATTTTTTTCAGAAAAAAAACTATAGAAATACCTCGTAGAGAATTAAAATCCATATTGAAACTGCCTGTTGAGTGCCTTCATATGTAAAGTCTTTCATTCCACACTTAGGGGCTAACCAAGAGAAAAATTCTTCAATAAAAAATGCATCTTTATGATGTATTTCCTATAGCAAAAGAAAATACAATTACAGAGTTTAAGCCTAGCATTCTGGCACCAGACCTGAACAAAGTGAAATAAAGTAGTAAGTACACCACTAAACTGCCAAAAACATTATTTTCCTAACAGACCTTTTACATCTCTTTCACAATATATTGAACCTGTATCTTACTGTTACTAGCATGAAACTGGTAAAAACAGCTTGAGCTTCAAATAAATTTGAGGCAGACAGGAAAAGGAAGAAATTTCACATTTAGAAAGAAGAAAATGTCTTTTAAGCAGACTGGTAATTAATTTTTAAATAGCATCTCTTGAAGCTGCTCATGGCTTTGGAATATTAGGCTGAGTCCTGGAGAGACAGGTTATTGGCAAAAATGCTAATGATGGTATCAAAGGTCCATGAAGAATTTCTCATGTGACTATGATTTGAATCTATGGGTTTGGTAGGTAAATGTATATATAGTATATATACATGCACACATTAGGCACATTGATATATTTAAAAGGAGGTAATATGTGCTTATGTTATCCTATACAGCAAAAGACACAGTAAAATTATCAAGAAATACCTAAGAGACGTGGGAGCCTGAGTTTAATTTTCCGAAAGTTAGTTATAATCCTAAATGTCATTGAAAGTTAACGGGGCTTTAAATGCTAACAGTCTGAATTCAAAAACTATTTAGACTGTAACTCTGATCTTTGGCCTAAGCTCCATGTTTGTTTCAGTATTCATTCTGAATCATATTTCTTTCATATTCTCAATCATATCTCTTAGAAACCAAAAAATATTTCAAGTCTTTTTCAGTTTCTAAGTCACTTGGGCAGTAGTGACCTTTTAAAATACTAAGCTGATATTTATATTCTTGAAAGAGAAAAAAGAAACCGTAAGACTGAAAAAAATATCCCTGCTGTAGTACTAGCTGCTTTTACTCTGGAAAGTATGTCTTCATTTTCTCCATGGATGATAAAATGCAGTCTGCTGTCCTTGCTGTATCGATGATCAAGCAGTACAACTTTGCCTTTAATTTTCAAATACACAAGGCCTGGAGAATGACATATTACAACTACTTTCTTATCTAATTAGAAAGTTACTCAGAGGTACTTTTTTCTGTTTGCACTGTAAAAGCTACATGAAGACATGACAGCCTTTGACAAATAGAATATGTTGGGGTTGTACAGTAAAAACCAGACCAAATCATAGTCTTCAACAGAGCGACAGGTAACGCCACTAAAGGAGTTAATACATTATGATCTCTGTTCAAATTAAACTTTGTTCTTACATAATTGTAACAGGCTGTGTCCTATAAGATAGTACACATAGAAGTTTTCCATGTAAAGGATATCTAAAGTATAACCAGAGGGGTGATCACCAGGTTGGTATATATTAGGGTGTCTCTACTGAACGCAACAGAAGTACCTACCCTGCTTCGGTGCACGGAGTCTCACACAGTAGGTCTGTACAGTTCCTACAGTAAGCTTTGTCTTAAAAACCTTCACATTCAACAGAAATTACTGCTGAAGTTGTCTCATCCAGTGTGACCCGCTGGAGGTGATTTCAGTAGTGTCTTGTGTGGTAAATGTAGTGACATCTTGGCAACAAGTAATTAATTAAGACTATCTGTGGTGGTTTTTCTCCTCCTTCAAGGTAGTGCGGGTTTTTTCCCCCTTTTTCCCTTTCAGAGCTGGGACAAAGAGGGGTATCTTTTCCCTTAATGTTCTTTCTAGCTGTTTATTTTCTGTTACAATTTTTCCATCCTTTCTTAGCTAAGGCGCTATTAAGAACATCAGTGCACTTATCATTGTGCCCTGCTTTTACACTGCAGTTCCTGAGCGCTCACAGCTGGCCCTCCCCACCTTCTCCATTGAACAGACACAGCTGTTCATGCAGCACACAGAAGAGGGAAGAGAGAGAGAGATTAGTCTTTAGTCTAAATCAGTTTTCTCATTTAGTTCAGCCAGGCTCTGGTAATGCAGCCATTTTAATCCAACATAAGTCTGCACAGCAGCCGAAATGGGCAGTCCTGCCCTCCTCGTACCATTTTCACCTCTCCTGACCTAGCTCACAGCACAGCTGCACAAATGCTGTGGATGGCTCGGGCGAGGAGATGGGAACGAGCATCTGGGGACGAGGGGAGGAGGGATCACATCAACCCTCTTGCTGACAGTCAAAATGGCCTGTAGCCAAGTGGCCATGTGAATGCTTGTGCCAGAAGGGGAGGAGGCTGGACCACTTCTTTCAGTGGCACTGAAGGCTCATGCTTTTTCAGAGTGCTCACAGGATTAGAGAATATGCTTCCACAATCAGCTTTAAGCTGATCTAAGTTCATGCTGTCACCAAAATGATTAGCAAGCTCGTCCATCTAGTTGCACAATCACAGCATGGTAGTGCCAACATCTAGCGGATGAAGGGGGGGACAGCTAACTGGCAGGGAGGATGTTGGAGAGAGCGGCAGCTCCACCTTTTCCGACAGCAGTGCGATCTTAGGTCTGCTTCCCTTAGCTGCTGTATCCCTAATTACGTATTAACATATACCATTATTGTCAGTATGAATCATGGCAATGATGTCTCTCAAAAACAAACAGAGCTTTTATTAGGGCTCTGTGCCTTCCAGCACAGTAAAAAGTAATCAGAGACACATGAAGCACAATCTAAATGAAAATAGGTTCTGTTGAAACACAAGAGGGTCAAACCCAATACATGAAAAATAAAATATACTTTAGTCTTTTTCCAGATGAAACATTTCTGTTCCATGCCAGTATTGCCCATGCAACTATGCCTACTCTCTTTGTTCCCACAAGTTCCCATTTTGACATCTGCTGGTTCTTCACCAAGTTCAATAGTCTTCTTTCCTCCTTCTTCCTACCCTCTAGCTTTTCATATGTGTTTTTTGAAATCATGGGTGAAGTGCTGATTCCTATTCACTTTTGGGGATGGAGGGGAAGGAGGGCAGGGCAGAGCATGGTTCTTCATTTTTTGGTTTTTTCCTTCCAAGGCCAGACTGATCTATCTTTTTCAGCCACAATGAGACCACAAATCATTGCCTCCATTCCATAGCCCATTTTTCCATTTTTTCTTCCTAACAAATTTTATAGAGTGAACGTTTGGATTTTACTAGATGAAAGCCTACATTATTCCCCTCCATTTTTGTCACAGCTTCTCAGAGCTGCTTTTCCTTGTCTGATAGAGACTGAAATGAGAAACACATAGGGCTGCATTTTCAGGATGCCTCTTTAAGGTTGAGGAGTGTGTCATATTCAGTTACACCGATTACATGCTGCTAACAACAGTTCTCTGTACAAGGATGAGAGAAAGTTGAGGGCCTGTTGCAGTTCATGAGAAACCACAGAGACTTAAGATTCCTCAGGAAGACTATAAGGAGAGTTCATGAAGACTGATGCAAGAAAACCTTAAAAAAAAAAAAAAAACCTAGGCATAACTTTTGGATCTGCAGCTGAACTTTTGGTTAATTATCTGAACTGATCCTCTGAACTCTCTGAGGTTTGCCCATTGCTAATTAGCACTACAGTGACTTGTTCTTTATGGATTACGCTAAGGAAGTTTAATTTAAAACTTAATTATACTAGTTTTTAAGTGGCTTATAGGGAAAAAATACTCTAATCGGGAGTGGTAAGGAATTTTTCCTGTGTTCAGACATCAGTAATCTTATTGAGGCATGTATAACATGCTTGAGGAGTTTCACATCTGTTTTATTTGCTTAGAAGAAAGTAGAGTAAGAGGTTAATGAAAAGTATCATATGATTCTGAGAGTCATACGATTGTATATGATCTTCTAGTACATAATAAAATGTTATTAATATTAAATAAATACATAGACTGCACATTGAATTGTTATTGTTACAGTGACAATGGTCTGAGTTGTATAGATTGTCTTGTAACCCACAGGGATCTGTTTTTCTACAGGCTTGGAATTTCTTATGCCGTTTGCCAATTCTAAACGTCAGCCTGAGCATTAAAGGCTGTTGGGATGACTCAGTTCAGCCACAGAACGAAGTGCCTGTTCCTTCTTTGACAACTGACATGCGAGATGACAAAAGATGGATCAAATTACATGCTGATCAAGAGTATGTGCTCCAAATAAATCTGCAGAGACTCCAGATGGGGTATCAGGTAGATTAATTTATCATTCCCTTTCCAAGTGCACAAGTTTCCAATAATTTACATTATCAATAATCCTTTATACTGCATAACAGGAGGTTTCATGGTTTAAATATTATGTAAATTATAAACACTTTCAAAGCCTTTTCTGTGTTAGTAATGAAGCAAATGGTTTTTTTCAGGTTGCAGTAGGATAGTAAATAGACTCTTAAGGTAAAATCCTAGACCAATTGAAGTTAATGAAGAAGATCTCATTATTTTTTACAAACCAGAAACTCGTAAAGTTCATTTGCTTGGGTACTATAAGCAGTGACATTAGAGATTATAACTTCACAGGCAGTACTTAAGTACCCACCAGCCACAAACTCCTCCCACTCATACTCTTGCCTATCCTGCTTCCCCAAACCAGTTTATAAGCTTCCCTATTATATTCCCATGTAGCTCCAAACTGCATACCAGACCCGTACCTATGTTTCTACTTGTAGCACATCCTCAGGCCTTTACTAAGGATATTTTCCTCATATTTTACATGTGAAGCTTTCTTGAACAGCTCCTAGAACAACTTCTACATACAATTCTTTTCCACACTTAAATTCCAGTCCCGCTCCTTTGCCCAGTTAAAGCAGATCCCATTTCCTCTTGGGCTGGTTACCTCACTGGGCCCATCTTCATGTGCCAAACCAGAACCACCAGCACAGGTTTCCAGCTGCTCTGCCTGGAGCAGCAGTAACCCACTGTACCTGTTTGTCAGCTCTTGGAGGAGTTAAGACCATGCCTCCTGCATTCAAATCAGGCACTGCTGACACTGTAGCTATCATTGACTTATAGATGCATTTTTTTATAATTTGAATACTATGAGTGGCATATGGACCACCATGATTATAATTTTGCTAATGAATTTCTCTAACATTTCAAACAACTAAGAGTGTTAATTACCAGCATTTTTGTTCAGATACAAAAAAAGAGTTCAGGATACAAGCAGAGAACAGTTTTCGATGTTAGTTCTGAGACTCTTAAGACAACTTCATTTTGATAAAAATAATAAAGGAGATAGATATGTTCTGTTGTAAATCCTGAAGTTAACTTACATTAGTTAAAGACTTACATTTGAAATGTATTCTTTCACAAAATACTTTTTTTCCCGAGTACAGCAAGTTCACCCTAGCTTCAAGGGAAAACAGTCTCATTTTTAGGAATGAAAAAGGGTCAAAGCTCCTCCATAAGTCATTCTATTTGCTGGGCCAGGTACTGACAGAGACTTACCTAACCAGAAGCCACCAAAAAGAAGGGAGCAGGAGCATTTCATGCAGTGATCACTGTTTTATAAACCTCTCCTAGGTTCCTCTTTTGTAAGAAACAGCTGAATCAAACTGTTTCTGAAGCTTCATTGCTATGGTGGTACTTTTTCTTCTGTATAAATCTTCAGTAAAACCTTTCCATCTACAGAACACAAAATGAATGCTGATTGAGTGTGCATCACTATATCTTCAGCTTTCAGCAGTAAATTCACCATCTTAAAGAATCACTGAAATAATCTTTCCTTTTGCTATATCAACCTCAAATGAAGACTTCAAGTGCTGTTTTTGTCTTTATATTAATCTTGAACAATACTGTTTAGCATTATTTAAAGACACAAGGTTTTCAATTAACCTTTCTGCAGAGAATAGCATTTGGAATACATTAGATGAAATTACAAAAAGGGAACAGTATTTCCATTCAAGTTTTAATAGCTTACAAAATAAGTGGAATAATATCTCGTATTCTGGGTTTTTTATGGGGACCGTGATTTTATTTTTTTAAAAAACCCTTAATCTGCAAAGAAATTAAAATCTTTTAGTAAGATTTAGTGGGTAAATTATAGTCTTATGTAACAATTCACAACAATGTGGTGCTGAGGTGCTTTTCATTCAAGGAAGAATGGCATTTTGGAAAGGTGATTTCTAGTTTTACTAAGCTGTTTCTTTTCACCAACAGGGAAAGCAAGACAGTAAAGCAGTGGCTCCTCGATTCCCCAAAGTTAAAGATGAAGGATGGTTTTTGATATTGGGAGAAGTCGATAAAAAAGAACTCATCGCCCTGAAAAGAACTGGATATGTCAGAAATCGAAATACTGTTTCTGTTGCTTTTTATACTCCAGAGACTCCTGGAAAGTATGACAAATTTACAAATTAAGTTCTCGTAATGATTATCTTTTCTAAGTAGTCAAGACCTCATTTCCAAACTAATGATTCTGCTTTTTACATTTTAGGTGTATTTACACACTCTATCTCATGAGCGACAGTTACCTCGGCATGGACCAACAGTACGATATTTACCTGAACATTATACCAGCTAGTACATCAGCACAAGCCACAACAGAGGTGTCTGATGCTATGAGTCACCTCGCTCTGAAGTAAGGCGATCTGAAAAGTCCATTCAAAAGAACTGGTCTTGCAGCTAAGACATCTGGTCATTCTGGACATCCAAAAATGTTTTTGCCTTAGTGGAACCAACTTCAAACCTCAAGACAACTAGAAAATTGAAAGTGACTACTGTATTGACTCTGGTAACACAGAGTTAGCCACAGTGGCCTTACTCCTTTATGAAGATTTGTCTTTTCTTGTTTCGTCTTTCCTCTTTCAGAAGTCATATTGTTAATTAAATTTTGGCACATCAAAATAAAAGACTAAAAGATATTCAAATTTGCGCAAATTTAGGGCTATAGTCTTCATTCTGAAAAGTGTTCTGTAGCCTGTGTATTAATGTAGTTTAACTAGTAAACTTTTTTAATTTATAGGGAAAAATACAAAATTCGATCTAAGAGCTGCTGAAAATATTGATGGATGTGTTTTATTTCATGTTTAATAAAAATATGTCCATAAGAATGTTTTGCATTAGATTTTTCAGTGCAAAATATGAGATATATAGTAACAAAATTGCCTTCTTACGCACACTACGTTTTGAAGGCGACAGTCTAAAGGAATACAATTATATTAATTGTATATGCAGTAAATCTGGTCATAAAGGCATGCTAAATAGTTTAAAATATTGCAATTCATATCGGTCATAATAAAAGTTTACCCTTTACATGTATGTACATACATATATATATACAGCATACATATATATTACACATTTACAATTTCTTTAGTGTTTTTTTCCTGAATTTTGAAGGACTAAGTCATATAAAATCGGGTGTCGTGTTCTAAGGTTTGGTGCTAAAGTGGGTAACTACAGTCTGTAAATAAAGGAGAGTGAGGCTCCAAAAATGGGGTTTACAGCAGACAGCTTGACCAAGTAAGAGTCCTGTCAGATGACAGGTAGTGCCTATGAGATGTTTTGCTCAGTGATAGTACCATGGAGGCACTTCCATCTGCAAGACACAGATGCTGCTACCTTCTCCCTTCACATTTATGTTCTGCACAATACAGTGACTAGACTGGAGATCTGCACATCCCAAGGTCAGTCCTCTTAAGGGGATTCAAAATAGTGAGCGAGTACTTGGAAGCAGCATACTGCAAAAACATCATGCATCTTCACTCAGATAGACTAGACCTTAAACAGAATATTCATACTGAACTTGTTCGGCTTTCCATTTAGCTGATAAGCATTACCTCTCTGAGGGATCATTTTGCTGTCATTTCCATTGTGTTTCACCAGATGAAAGAATACAGCAGAGCTGTTGCCTGGAAGCTTTCCAGAAAAAAAAAAAAAAAAAATATATAAAAAGATGACACCAGTGGTGCTGTGCCCACAGAGAATCACAGAATGGCTTAAGTTAGAGGTCATTTGGTCCAGCCCCCGTGACCGCCTGATCAAGGAGGGTCACCTACAGCTGGTTGCCCAGGACCAAGCCCAGGCAGCTTTTGAATATCTCCCAGGATGGAGACTCCATAACCTCTCTGTACAACCTGTGCCAGGGCTTGGTCACCCTAAAAGTGAAAAAGTGTTTCCTGATGCTTAGAGGGAAAAGTGTTTCCTGTGCTTCAGTCTGTGCCTGTTGCCTCTGCTCCTGTCACTGTGCACCACTGAAAAGAGCCTGGCTCCAGCCTCATTAACATCTTCCGTTCAGGTATTTATGCACATGGATGGATCTCCCCTAAGCCTTCTCTTCTCGAGGCTGAATAGTCCTGACTCCCTCAAACTTTCCTCATGTGAGACATGTTCCAGTCCCTTCATGTTCTTTGTGGCGCTTTGCTGGACTCTCTCCAGTATGTCTGTGCCTCTCTTGTACTGGATGCAGTATTCCAGGTGCAGCCTCAGCAGTTCTAATCACCTCCCTCAACCTGCTGGCAACGCTACGTTGCAGCAAAGAGAAGGCTGGCTGATTCCAAAGGGTCAATTGTTAAACATTAATTTATTTCCTATCTATCTGGCACCTCTAAACTATTAATCAATTCTGTAGCTGAGTGTTTTCAGAGATCTTAACATCACCTGATGATGTTAAAAATTTTCTATTTCATTATTATAGGGTGACTATTGCCTAAGAAAATGGGACAATAATAGACTGTATTTATGGAACTATATTTACAGCCTGCTAGAATACACAACTGCTGCCTTTGCCATTTGGACTGTATCATATATAATACTGTGTTGTGTCACACAGCAAAGAGACTTTCAAATTGGTAGGCAAAAGTTTGGTTGTACATACATGTATTTAGTCCTACGCCCATTTTTAAGATAATTGTTTTCTCTAACCTGCATGTAAATTTTCACAGAAATTAAGTCCTTGCTTTGGGAAAATTCTTGGCTGAAGCAATATATTGTCCCTCAACAATTTTAATTAATTAGGAAAAAGAGCTATGCCACAGTCAAACAACATACCAACATAGTGACGCTAGTTCCTGTTGCTTTGTAAATGCACATCACAAAATAGTCTAACTGCAGAGTAGCAGACAATAGCTTCAGTATTCTGTATTAATCAATTAAAGAGTTTCTGTAATGTCATTTGTACTATTTGTACTTTGGTTTGGAAGTACTGTATTTCATTTCCTAGCATGTTAATTGTTTTTAGAAATAGTTTGGTGAAATTTCTAAGCAACATATTTGAGACTTTTTTTTTAAACAAAAGTATTGGATTCATGAAGACAAAGTCTGAAGTAGTATAGAATGAGTTTAAGCAAATTGATTAGAATCTGTATTTATCTGAAAAACCCAAGAGAAGGAATTCTGATGCATTTGAAACAGCTGCTTAGAAGGAACAATCAATATATTCAATCCAGTGCTGTCTAATGGTGGAAAGTCAGAACAGCAGTCTAACAAAAGTATGAAAATCAAACACAGAATTAAAAAAAAAAAAAAAATAGGTACTTTGATTATGTAATAATAATTTTTGATAAATGAGCAAATTGACAGCACATACAGAAATTATTTATGTTAAGTTTCTCATTCCAGTTTGCAAGCAGGTTTTTATTTTCCCTTCTTGGAGCAGCTGCAGTTAGTGCCTGCCTGCTCAGATATGATACTTCTTCCAGAAATTGGAAAGAGCAACAAAAACCACACACATCTTGTGCATCAAGATGTATTTAAATCTGCCTATGTGACTTCACCCTTTCCATCTTACCCTGTCCTAATCCGATAACGGCATCCAGCAGTACTTAGCAGGAGCTAGAGGAGGTTTGGGTACCTACAACCATCCTCATCTCTTCTTAAGGAGCTCTTACAATGCAGTCTGATGTTTAGAACCTTACTTATGGCTTTTGTTTTAGTCCAGGTCCTGAATGTATTCCTCTTCCTTGTCATTTATTTGCTTCTAGAGAACACCTCTAGATGGTCATCCTGAAGGAAACTTCAGGAAGTCTCAGTCATTAAACTCTATCCTGGAGCCTAGTATGAGACTGGATCGGTCACTGAATAGGCTTTATTTAAAGAAAGGTAAGTTCTGTAATTCCAGTTTTCTAGTTCTGGGAGGTACTTACAAAGAGGAGAAGGTATCCCGCGTGCACCTGCTCTTGCACATCACAGCCTGAATCCAAATTCCTATGTTCCTCCCTTACTCAGGAAAAAGAGGCTCTGATATTTTCAAGACAGTTTGATGAACTGGTCCAACAAGCATCACTACTCAATGAAGAGGTTTATTTACTGCAGACGGTTCTTAAATCATCCCTCTCTTGTCTTGCCTCCACCCCTCCCTTTATCTCCTTCCACTACCTGTAAACCCTACAATCACACCTGTTCAGAAACAGTTTTCCATATTAAATAAAATTTCCAGGAATTTTTTAGCTCATCTCTCTGTGATGTGGTATGGACACTGTTCTAGCCTGTGTAGTAAGTACTGAAGCAGGACAAAATAAGGTAATACAAGCAAACCATATATATTTTTTCCACATCCTAAAGGTCTCCATAAAGTCTGAACTAATGCTGAGAGTAGAAAAAAAAAACGATAATTCTGTAATCAGAAAGCCAAGCCACAGGTATAAAAAAAAAAAAAACCACCCATCCATCCAAGTATGCTTTACAACTCATGGTAAATTGTGTAAGGGATTTTTGTACAAACTTTTTTTTTTTAGTTTTAGATATCCTTTCTTCCAGCTTCTTGCACACCTTTGGCCCTATTTAGTTGCTTACACGCAGATACCTAGTGCTATTTAATATGCAATATCTCACCTGGCCTCTACACTCAGCTCCAGAAGAATGTGCAGCAGCTGCGCAGGGCTGTCAGATATGAAACATGATGCTGTTGTATGTGTGACACTCTGTGGATGCCCCAAGTCCCCTAAGGCATCTGAAATAGCACTAGATATCTACATCCAGGTAACCAAATTGAGTCCTTATCACTTGTTTAGTCATAGGTAAGCAATTCAGTTGCTGAACTGCATCGAATGCACTTTAAAATCACCAAGGATATTTCAGTTGCCACTCCAGAAGACAGCAACTCTTCCATAGGTCCTGTGTCACTTCCACTGTCCCCATGCATATATGCCAATATCATGGGGTGGCTACCTATGTACTCAAGCTTAACTAGCTAATCAAGCCCATGCTATTTTTTTAGTCAGAAAAACCATAAGTGTTCAAAATTCTCTCCTCCCTAGTACAGTTCACGCTATTTTCTGATGAGAGAATTCTTCTGCTTCATGAGGAGACATCCTTTCTGAAAAAAAAGGTTTGGATGCCAAAGGATGCCAAAACAGACACGTGAGCTACAAAAAGGTGAGCAGGGCTGCTGCTGAGAATGGTCACTCCATTTCTATTTATACACTATGCCTGTTCTATCAGCTATGTTTGATTCCTACCTGTCTTTAAGAACATATCTTGCTAAATTACATGTCTTTTCAGAGTACACTGCACTTCAGCGGGCTGTGCCAAGACTTAAATCTGAAAAAATTTTGATGCAAATTTTTCTGAAGTGATTTGCAAAAGCTCAAGAATGAACTACCCAAGTTTGTTGTTAATATCACACACTGGTAGCAATGAGAGGTTAAGCTGCTTGCATGAAGTGTGTGAAGGGAACTTCTATATTAAAGGAACTTCTTGGAAAGCAATTGTACCACTTGTACTAAGTAAGTCTCTGTGTAAATAATTCCTACAGAGGATTCAATCTAGACAGAAGAAACAAGCTCTATAGAAAGGATTCTCCACAGTGATTACACCATCCTGCAATTAAATATGTTTACAATATGTCTTGTGCTCAGATCGTCTAATGAGCTCCATACT